GTTAGTCGCTGCTAAATTTGTACATGAAAAGTTTTAAATCAATGTTTCAGACAAAAACATTCTGTACGACATAATAATAAAAAGTAAACTTAGGTAATATGACGTAAACAATTGTTTTTTATTCTAATATTTTTTTTATGAAGATATGTGCATTGTTGTCAAATTTCAAGTCGCGATCTATTGTAGATTGAGGGTTATTAATGATTTTGTAAAATAAATCGCTGTAGAAGAAGAAGAAGAAGAAGAAATTTTAATATTTTTTTGGCAGTTCGATTTAAAACAACATAATTCACCTTTACTTAAAATATAATCCTTAAAAATATTTTATTTAAGAAATATATACGAAAAAAACGAATTTTTAAAAATAAAAAAAAATCTATTGGACTGGCGGCCATGTTGTTTTGTTTGTATCATTTTTATTTTTTAGTATGTTAAATGGCATATCTTAATACATTGACGGATGTTTTTTGTGTGGTTAATTTTTTCTTAGTTTTTGAGAGAGAAAAAATTTAAAAATTAAAAAAAAAATACAAAAAAAATTTTTTTTTTTAAAGTTGCACACTTAGCAAGCCCATCTTTGAAAGGGTCCATTAAATGGTCCAGGTACACCTTACCACCAAATTTGGGTCTTCTACGTCGATCCCTGCGACATGTAATGCAGCACGCATAAACCACGAAATTTGGTCGAAAAAATCGATAAATAGTGCACTTAGACCCTACTTAAACTAACGATTTTTAAATGAAAGGTGTGTTTTGTGGTTGTAATAAAATGATAAAAAATTCAAATTCCTATCTAAAATAGTTTTTTAATTAGAACGTTTCATAAAATTTCAAAAATTATCAGTCTGTACTCTACTAGCTGGGCAACAGTATGGACGTGCACGTGTAAACATTACATTAAAATTGCATCTTATTTTATAGAAATGATGGATGCTGTGAATGTAAAGCAAGATTTGATGTATCGTTTTGTGCTTACGAAATACACAAATTTTTATTTATAATTTGTTTTGTAAAACACAGAATTAATTTAATTTTCAAAAATGGCGGATGCGCAGGGATTAAAAAACGAATTTGTACAACATTTCCCTTGAAAGTTCCTAATTGCCAAAAATTTACAAAACAAGGATTGCCATAGTGATTGGGCATTGTATCGGCGGAATAAATTAGACGGATTTTGACCCAGCGTTAATTATAATTATAATTAAGCGAGTTGACTGTTTTATAACAAACAGCACAATCAAGAATTCACGGTGTCTGTAAAACATGATGTTAATTATGAAAAAAATCAAGTTTTTCTTGAATATATGTGCATCATGCTTCCACACATTGTTGCCAAATTTCAAGTCGCGATCTATTGTAGATTGAGTGTTATTAATGATTTTGTAAAATAAATCGCATTAGAAGAAGAAGAAGAAATTTTAATATTTTTTTGACAGTTCGATTTAAAACAACATAATTCACCTTTACTTAAAATAAAATCCTTAAAAATATTTAATTTAGGAAATATATACAGAAAAACAGAATTTTTTAAAATAAAAAATAAATCTATTGGACTGGCGGCCATGTTGTTTTGTTTGTGTCATTTTTATTTTTTAGTATGTTAAATGGCATCTCTTAACACATCGACTGATGTTTTTTGTGTTGTTAATTTTTCCTTAGTTTTTAAGAAAAAAAAATATAAAAATTAAAAAAAAAAATACAAAACATTTTTTTTTTTACAAAGTTGCAGACTTGGCAAGCCCATCTTTAAAAGGGTCCATTAAATGGTCCAGTTACACCTTACCACCAAATTTGGGTTTTCTACGTCGATATCTGCGACTTGTAATGCATCACGTATAAACCACGAAATTTGGTCGAAAAAATCAATAAAAAGTGCACTTAGACCCTACTTACACTAACGATTTTCAAATGGAAGGTGTGTCTTGTGGTCGCAATAAAATGATAAAAATTTTAAATTCGTATCTAAAATAGTTTCTTAATTAGAAAGTTTCATAAAATTATCCGTCTGTACTCTACTAGCTGGGGAACAGTATTGACGTCCATTTGTAAACATTACATTAAAATTGCATCTTATTTTATAGAAATAATGGATGCTATCAATGTAGAGCAAGATTTGATGGTTTTGTGCTATAATACACATATTTTTATTTAACTTGTTTGAAGTGGTTCGTTTTGTAAAACACAGAATTTATTTAATTTGCAAAAATGGCGGATGCGCAGGGATTAAAAAACGAATTTGTACAACATTTCCCTTGAAAGTTCCTAATTGCCAAAAATGTACAAAACAAGGATTGTCATAGTGATTGGGCATTGTATCAGCGGAATTAATTAGACGGATTAAGCGAAGTGAGTGTTTCATAACAAACAGAGCAATCAAGAAAACATTATGTTTATTTTGAAAAATATCAAGTTTTACTTGTTCAATGGAAGTAATTGGCCCTGTATATATACGTAAACATGGTCTATTCTCATTTGCCATTGCTCGGAGCAGGGATATTTAAAAAAGTGCATTCCATATTTCATAAAGGGGTTCATTTGTTGGACAATATGATCCAAAACGACCTTAAGAGGATAAATTAATCTTAGAACATACATTCTCCCGGGAATGTATTTCAAGTATGTTTTGATTTATAGCCTTTAAAGTGTAGGGTCGAGTCGCAGGCCATCAGCACACACAATTGAACCATTTTCGTTTTTTGCCTTTGTCTTTTTTGCCTGTTTTTTTTTGTTAACTTTTTTGGTAGTTTATGACGCTATTCAAGAATTAATCACGCATTATAGAGCTTATTTAAAAAAAATATGTTACAGTGATTTATCATTGGAGTTCTTGATTAAATGGTCAATAGAAAATACTAAAAATTTGCACATATAAAATTTATATTTATATATTTTATTTAAATATTAAATTTGTGATATTTGGTTATATAAATTTAATATTCTCTATTCATTAAAAGGCTGCAAATGATGTTATTTTACGAGATATGATTTATTATTTTGCTGCCACTGCTAGAATGGGCAAAAAAATTGATACAACATAATTTATTTATGTTCACTATAGTCACTATAGTGACAATATTTGTTTAGTTAAATTCCAAACAATTGGGAACATTTCATAATGAAATCCTCCACAATTATTTCAGCTTTTCCAGTACGTTATAAACATATTTTTCTCTTTTAATGCTAACAAGCAAAATAGCTAGAACAGTGCGGGCAAATTTTGCTATTTACACTTTACACTGTATTCGTAACTCATAAAATAACGAAGCTTTGTTATAATATACTCTTTGAATTTTTTTGTTTAGTTCGGAAACTAATATCAAAGAGAAAAAGTTAATTTTTATGCAAATGAAATATACTGTGTATCTGGTTTGTTATTATCTAGTCTTATCTAAGAATAATAATATGAAAATGCAGATTTTTCGTTTTAAAAATTGTATTTTGATCAAAAACAAGTAATTCTACCAAATTGACAATTGTGACATTTTTGCATGACTCTCTTATTCCTACATTGGCAGAAATGTTTCCCTTGATCTACCAAGTGATACAATTTAGTTTCAAGTGGCCAGCGATATGTCCAGATCTAATCCCTCTCGATTATTTCTTATGGGGCTCCCTTAAATCAAAGGACAAGACCATCAAATTTGTGAAGAATGTTACTGTTATGCGATACTAAAATTTTATCCCTGTTAAACAAACTTATTCAATAATAATAAAGAGAAAATATATATTTGCTGTTTGTAGGATAATGTCTGTTTTATACTTTAATGGTAAGTATTCCACAACCAAAAATAATTCTGAAAGCAATTTTATTGCATATATTGCTATCTAAATGATATTGTTTGGTAAACTTTAAAAATAAACGTTATAAATATTGAAAATACATAAAAATGATGATGTTCTCTACTTTTATTTTTCAGTTTTATAAAATTTACGGATCATTAAATTTTGGTCCGTGATAATTATATTTTCTAAAAGTTGGCAAAGTAAAACTGGTTCAACTTAAATTTGTAAAGTTAACATTCAAATATTTTAGGGCGAATAGGGGAATGGTTTCAATTTACATTTTGTTTTGGTCTACCTATTCCACATTCAGTTTTAGAGTTTTGGTGGGTAGGAATGACCGCAAAATTTCCATTAAAGAAAATGTCACAAAATAGTTAGAAGCGTTAAATTAATGAACTAATACAGTTATTTTTTTTTATTTGGACAAATTTCATTCAATTGCACAGCTAAATCGCGCACGTTATTTGTGTTTTACGTAGCAAAGAAAAAACTAAGAAACTGGTTTAGTACTCGATTTCGATTGATTATTCCTTATATCATTGATTACGAAAATCAACGCTTAAATGCTTATATAGTTACGTTAGTGTGTGTATTTTATCTAAGGGGTCATGGTGAATTATTGTGTTTTTAATTGTAAATAAAATCGTTGCATTTTCATGTTTTGCCAAAGGATCCAATTCGGTAAGTACATTTGTTGGTGCAGAATTAACTAATGATAACTTTACCTAATATAATTTATATTTAAGTTTGAACATTTTTAAGATATTGGTAAAAAATAATTTTTGCACACACATAAACTTAAAATCAACCATTTTTATATTTGAGTTCTCTAAAAAAAGGAAAGATAACTGTTAATACTATAGTGAATAAATATAATAAATAAATCAACAAGAAAATTTTTGGTTACCCAGCACATACGAAATTTCACTGGTTATTTAATTTGATGGTGTTAATCGAACAAATCAAAAAGTGTATATTCTGCTGACTCGGGCAATTGTTAATGGTCGTGTCTATAAAGTGACGTTTTGAAGTTCGACCATTGTACATTTGACAACAGTGTACATTATCAGGATATCAGAGTAAGCAGTTTTCATTTTCCAATTATCGTGTATTGTATTAGTGACAGTGCGGTTGGGTTGACAGAAAATCAAAAGAAAAATTCTTTTTGTTTTTTTTTCTTTTAATTTCTCAAGATTAAAAAATACAGAACAACTGACCTTTTTTATTTTTATTGCCCAGCCCTTGAACTGTTTCACAAAAACTCACACAAATTGTTTTTTTTTGTTCACTTTATATATATATATACTTTTTTTTTTTTTTGATCTCACATTCACTCAAATTAACGTACACATAAAAACTTAATTGGTATGTTTTTTACACAAAATTCGATTAACTTTTTGCCACCGAAAAAACCGACTAATCGCACCTTAATTACATGGGATTTCCTGAAAATTCCTGAAAAAGTTGGTCGTCATCGCGACACCGGTGGTAGAACAAGTGACGATCGGGATTTCAGGATACGCGTGTGAAAAAGACCGATGTTGAGTCACGCCGTTTCAGCAACGTACTGAAGGGTAGGCCGGTTGTTTCAGCTGAAATCTGCTGAAGGGTGAACGCGCGCACAAACTTTCAGGGGACATTAAAAATTTATGTCTGAAAATTTTATATAATTATGATTATAATTCTTTAACTTTTCTGAACACCCGCCATGTTTTAACATAATCAAATTGTAAATTAAAAGACCTATCGATTAATGTAACTATTTCTTATACTTAAAGTTAATTAATTTAATTTTAGAGATATTTAACAATTTTTAAATTTTATCAAGAAACCTGTGACGGCATCTATGGTTATCAATCTGTCATTGTTCAAAATTTAATGACGTAAATGAAGGATACTTCAAACAATTAGATATATTTTGGAATAAACTTCCATATGTACTATGCTCCACACCTCAAAGTCCCACCACGTGACCACGTACGGAACGCAGTCTTTTGAAAATTTTAAGGCTCTTTAGGTTATGTATCTGTCAAAGTATAGTCAACGAAAGAAATAATATTATGTTTAGGCGTTAAAAATGTATAAATCTTTATAACATTGCAATAACAATGGATGGTTTAAGAATTTAAGAATATAAATACTGCATTTAATGAAATTCTAAAGTGTATGGTGCCAAATAAGTAATATTTTAGTGAATTTAGTCCAAATATCTGGTTTTCTCCATACAATAATTTTAACTAAACAGCGTTTATTAAAAAAATCTAGCTTTTCTATTATGGAATAAGAATATCTGTTTTAAAGGTAGGTTTATATATTATAACAAAAATATCATCTAATTTTGTAATTTTAAGGTTAGAAAAATTTATTTTGACCAAAACAAATAATTTTGGATTATTTAAAAGACTGTATAATATGGTATTTAAAAATGTGGTAGTTTTTCTTATCAAGCTTAAAGTGTACCTACATAAAGTTTTGTCAATACAAATAGTTAAAAAGCTTTGACTGAACTTAACTTAAAAATTTTAATAAATCGCATGTCATGGGAGTATTAAATATTTTCACATTGCAAGTTTCTCTAAAAATTGTTTGTTTTCTTATAATCCAACTTAAAGTAGGTATGCCGAGAGGTATGCACAAGTTTTGTCATTAGAAGTATAATTTAATTTGAACCATATTCAACAATTATTTAGTATACCTATACTTATTTATGACCATATTAACACACTCTTCTAAATAATCCACTTATTTATTTTGGTCAAAATGGATTTTTCTAACCTTAAAATACAAAATTAGATGATATTTTTTGTTCTAATACATTAACCTACCTTACAGATATTCTTATTTCATAATAGAGAAGTTAGATTTTTTTTAATAAATGCTGTTTAGTTAAAACTATTTTATGGAGAAATGTAGACCCAATGCACAAAAATATCACTTATATTGCACCTTACACTTTGGAATTTCATTAAATGCAGTATTTATATTCCTAGATTCTTAAACCAACCATTGTTATTGTGATACTATAAAGATTTATTAACTTTTAACGCTTCCGTTCGCTTACGATTGTAAAAAACAATTTTCAATTGGTTTCACTCGGCAAAGCGAGAATGTAAACACCCTGTACATACACACTAATGCTTGATTCTCTTTTAATACGTTCAGATTTACGTAGCTCGCTCTAAATCTACAACATATTGAATTTAACCGTTTTGAATTTCGGTCGCATTTAATATAAAATTGGCTTAATATTATTTCTAGTCTAGCAATTTGGAAACGCAAATGGCTAAAGTGGGCAAAACGTGCTGGAAATACGAATGCAAGAATACGGTTTGTGTTATTGATAGAGATAAAATGTATTTTTAGTGCTTTGTAGCGTTCTCATATCCATGATGTTCATTTTCATCTTCTTGAAAACTTCCATCACTGCTTTGCTAGAGGCACTCTTGAGATTCTGGGATACAGTTTTGATAATATTTAAAGAAACTGACAAGGTCTTTCTTAGGTTGCATTGTCTGAACCAAAAGTTAAAAATGGCTTTTGATATACACTAGGTCTTCTGCTACTCCTCTTGAAGACATTGATCTATGATTATCGACAATTTGACAATTCGTTGAAAAAACCTGATTTATTCCTATTTGTAATTTAAATCAGTGGCGGCCCGTCAGGGGAGGGCAGTGCCTCATCATAGAGAATAAAAAAATTAATTATAATTTAAATATTTTACTTTCTATAATATACTATAAATTTTTAATATTTGGATTACATGAAATGTAAAATAGTCAATAAAATTGATTGATTTTATACGTGGAATACCCAGCAACATTTAAATTATTTGAATTTGAAATCACCGCAATTTAAACTAATATTTATAGCTAGATGATTGGCTCAGAAGCATGCCTGAACTAATTTAGACTCACGATTGGCGTTAGGCTTGTTGTCTCGTTCTATTACAATGCGATATCATAGTTGTCTCCTTCTCTTGTATTAGCACACGCGAGGCAGGCACGCCTACATCCAAGGAAATAAGCAGGTGTTGTGGCAACACTGTTGCGGAATTTTAGATAAATTATACTTCACACGTTTTTCAAAATTCAATAATAAATGGTATTATTTTCCTTATAATAAATCGATTTAATCGAAATTATATTTCTATTCTAAAATAAACAAAAATTTAAACACTATAGCCATCTTGTAGCCATCACAGTAACCAATAAAATAAATACAGATTCCTTCTTTAGGTTTGTTTTGGTTATAAAATTCTGAACTGTTTAAAAAACAAATCTGTGGTTATTTATTAGTCGTACCAATATTTACTAAAATTTTCCAAAATTGGTCTATCGATTGTTAATATTAAATTAAGAATAAGATTATTTCATTTAAAGTCTTTCTTAACATTTAACAGGCAAGAATAAGATCTGCTTGTTTAAAGAAAGATTTAGTTTAATGTTAGTTTTAGCCTTGACATATTGTCCTTTCTAAGATTTTTTTATACAAACCACCTTCACCTTACTAAAGCCGAAATTTGTAAAAACGACTTAAGTAGATTAAAAAAATATTTAGATATAAAATTTTCATTAATTTTAAGTATTTTTTTATCTATTGTGCTAATTGACTAAAGTATTATATTAGTCAAAATATTTGCATTTAAAAATTTTGATAATATTTGGAAAATTACATTTTTACATATATATACATATAATTTTACTTTATCGACCTAGTGTTTACTAACAGCACTTAATCATTTTTTAATGTATTTTAAGTGTAATTAGATATCCCTATCTAAGTAACGTGTGTCTGAAAACACTACTAAATATTTAAAAAAAATGCATTTTGATTATTTTGATAATAAATTTTCTATAAGGAATTTCACAAATATAAGTTTATAATGATAAAATGGTAAAATGATTAAATTACATTAGATAAAAAAATTAATGTTTCCCGTAAAAACTCTTAAACTTTATATAAAATAAAAATAATAATTATAATTGGTGGTTTGAATCAAAGGGGTCAAGTAATTGCTCAACATTTTTTCGTCTAAGTGCAATGATAGTAATGTTCCACATAAATCTAATTTTACACTTAAATATACATTTAAAACCAGTGGCGGCCCGTGACATTTCATTTTGGTGAGGCAGGGTTTCGCCCTCATTTAAAGTCGAAGAAATTTTTTTAAACCCAACTTAAAAAAACTGACGTCGCAGTTCACAACATATACCTAAAACTAAGTAAAAAACTTAGACTGTGGTGGGGAAGGAATTCTCTACCACTTACAAAAGAATCATAAAATAGACAAACTCATAGAAAAAGAATAAAGAAAATATTGCGTAAATAACAACAGATTTGTTCTTTAAACAGTTCAGAATTTTATAACCAAAACAAACCTAAAGAAGGAATCTGTATTTATTTTATTGGTTACTGTGATGGCTACAAGATGGCGATAGTGTTAAAATAGGTTTATTTTAGAATAGAAATATAATTTATATTTATATTTATAATTAAATCGATTTATTATAAGAAAAATAATACCATTTATTATTGAATTTTGAAAAACGTGTGAAGTATAATTTATCTAAAATTCCGCAACAGTGTTGCCACAACACCTGCTTATTTCCTTGGATGTAGGCGTGCCTGCCTCGCGTATTCTAATACGAGAGAAGGAGACAAATATGATATCGCATTGTAATAGACAAGGCTAACGCCAATCGTGAGTCTAAGAGCAGAATCATTGCAAACCTCCATTATATATATTTTTTTGAAGCGTACAATAATTTTTATATTATAACACTTCAAAGTCCATATAAAAATACTTCATGAGTATTAATAATAGTTATTATTAAACTTCCTACCGAAATAAAGCTAAAATGTTATCAGTTGAACCTTACCTGTTTTTGGTATTTTACCGTTGAGTGAAGACATTCTCAACGCTATGACAATTAGTCAAATCAGACTTTGACATTTAATTTTAAGAAGGTATACTTTAAAATAATTTTTTATATTTAAAACCTAATTTATGCAATGATAAACATATTCATTTTAATATTTGATAAAAGCAATCGTTTTCATTAATATTTTGCCAATTCTCAGCATAATTTAAAATTAATTAAGGATAAAACTTATGAATTATGTTGTTTAAATTTAAAATATATATTTATACATATACAGTACGCTTTTAAAGCAAAATACCGACAATAATAACTTTTTAAATTGATTTTGGTAATGAATGAATTATGAACTAACTAATTCTTAAAATGGAAAGCATTGATTAATTGAAAAATTTACCCTGATACTGACGTTCGTTTTTAATATTACATATTTCTAAAAATATATTCAAGTCCAACCCTGCCAACTAGGTTAAATTATTTTTATCGAGTCAAAAATAATAATCACTTTAACGCGCTTGTTTAATTTACAGCAAAACTAATTATATATAGTTAGTTATGTCCGAGAAAGTTTATAACTACCTTAGCCATGATTCCAATTAGAGTTATAATTTTGTCGGTTCTAGTTTTTGGTTCTGGTTATGGAGTTGAAGAAGATGACACCAATTTGG